TTCCTTTCATGTCGTCTTCACTATTCCTTACTCTGTCCCTCACATAGTCACACACACACACACACACACACACTCACACGCACATACTCAGTCACTCGCTCATAGGTCTGTCTCTTCTCAACCAGCCAGGTTCAGATAGAGGTAATGGCTCCGGGTAATTGTTCAAATTGTCACTTGGCCTTTTGGTGAGAGCGATGAAGGGAAGAAAGTACTCTTCTTGCAGTAATTCTCTGTCTTTCTTCTCTCTCTGTCTTTTCTCCTACTCTCTGTCCCCTGTCTTTATTTAATTTCAATCCAGAAAGATTTACTGGTGCAGCTCTTCCGTTCTAAATGCCAGGCACAAATGAGTACAGTGAGCCGCAAAATCACTCTCACTGTCCCTCTCTCACTCCTGGCTACTTTCTCTCTTGCTTACAATGCATACACGCGCACATGCACACACGCACGCACGCACACACGTACAGGGTTGCAGGTTAGTTACAATGTGTTAATCCCACTGGGAGTATTTGTTCTTGCCTAGAGTACTACTGGGGCTAATAAGGATGTACAGCACTTCTTTATCATGCTACCTGGGTGTGTGTACCCCTGCACATTGTCAGCATATGTGTGTCATGAATTTTGTGCCAGCACCCGCCATGAATGTTTGTCAGTGATAATTTTGTATACCTGTGCGTGTGCATATACAGAGCCTTTTAATGTGAATGTGTCTGGCCTTTACACCTCTCCTGTTCCTCTTTATATTTGCAATTAGAGAGCTGAACTCATGTTCATTAAATATGCCAAATGAATCTGACATGTACTAAACAGTGAACTGGAACAGGAACTGTTGTCACTGGGTCCTCACTGCTGGTACTTTAGGGAAGTAGTTGTTGAGCGTACGATATAGTGGCGTTTATTTACTACTTAATTATTTCATTTATTCACTGTAACTTCATCATTTGAACAGAAAAACACACACACACACACACACACACACACACACACACACACACACACACACACACACACACACACACACACAAAAAACATGTTGCATTGTCATTGTGTCATTTGTCCTTAAACTAATACAAACTGTACAAAGAACTGAGTCCTTCAAAGAAGTTAAGTGTTTTAGCCATCAGTATTCTAAACAAATTAAACAATTTTGTTTAATATTTATTTATAAAAAAAATTGAGTTATGTTATATACTGAATATTATTTCTTCACTTCCCTGTTCATCTCTCTGACTGTTTGACATGGTATTTATCAAAACACATATTCATTTCAATTCATCATCCATGTCCGCAAAGAGATATTTCAAGATAGATTACCTTATGTTTATCACTTTCATACAGATGAACACACACACACACACACACACACACACACACACACACACACACACACACACACACATACATACGCACAGGCACAAACTGTCCAGCATTCATTACTATTAATTTATCATACTCATTCTGGGAGTGTTTTCAGGGAACACTTAGTCTGATTGGTTATTCAGTAATTAGTAATATCACTAATAGTTCACTGTTTTTATCAGCTTTTATCCACTTTTAGCAATTATTAGATTGGACTGAGAAAAGTAAATGCTTGCAGCCCATTTATTACAAGCATAGTTAATCAAGGCAGGATTATCCATCATTGAGTTCAAATGGAAACTCTACTATTCTATTGTCAGTTTTTGGAGGGCCTCTAATGCTCACAAGTATCGATTGAGCTGTCCAAGGTCGGCAGACTAATGTATTAATTTTTCCCTGCTGTTGTCCACAATATATTTCTAATAAATCTTTGTCATTTAGAAGCATATTTTTATTTTCCTCAGAAATAAAGTGTCAGGTCTTTAAATCATTATTTCTAGTCAGCTTTTATGTCACATGCATATGCATAGTCTTTTTTTATGGGGCTTTATGGGGCTGTTTGTGTTACTTATATAAATATGTATCTCTGAAAGACCCAATTGGCTGACAGCGCTGATCAATCTACAATCATATTCATGTTGGAGTTTCTGATTTTCTTTTTCTCAACAAATTTTTCATAAAGCTTTCATAAAGGTTTAAGAATGTGCATCTTTAATATACAAAATTTTGGTTTCTGCAAAATGGCATTATTTAATTGAGTTATTACATATAACAGCCATAAAATAACAGCCATAATTGTGGTAGTGGGTGGTGCAGTTTCCACACTGCAGGAAGTTTGTAGAAGTTTTCAGGTAACCACTAAAACTTATTTTTAAAACTCAAGCAAATACAAAGAGCTAGCCACTTTACTGTTCAACAATTTAGTATTTTGCTATATAATCAATGATACTATGAGGTCAGTATGAATAATGACAGACATTTACTCGTTCAGATTCATTTACTTGTTCTAAATTGGCCTTTGATAAGTGACGTATGTTGCTGGCCTTTGCAATTAATATGTCGCTCTTCCAAAGAGAGAGAGAAAGGGAGAGAGACTATATCTACGTGTAGTTATTAAATGAGACATACGTTTAAGCACCAAAGACTTTCCAATTAATGTATGAGTGGCTGTTGTTATGACAAAGAGGTTAGGATAATTAATGTTACCTGTCATCCTGTTAGTAATTAAGCTCACATGACAGCATGTGTAGCTAGACCAGACTAATTGATTTCCAGGCCGCCAAACCTCAAACATATGTTTACTGTATCTACCGTCTGTCTCACCTCACCTTCCTCCGTCTCTTCTCGTCAGCCTTTGTATCTTTTTTCATCCTGTCTTTTTTCCCTGTCTTACATCTTTCTTATATTTCCTCCCTTCATTACTCATCCATCTTGCTCAGTTTCTCCTCTCCCTCTCTTTTCTTCCCCTTCTCCTACTGACAGGTGGTGTAGGTCATATGCCAATAGGGTGAGAGGTTAAAGGTTAAAGGCCATGTTAAGAGTCCATTAGTGCCTACCACTAACATTGAGCCTTATTGACCTGCGTGTGTGTCTGTCTGCATCTGCTTACACAAACACGTGCACTCAGAGTGCACGCATAATCTCAGCTATCCACATGCATGAGCATGCAGACAGATATGCAGATTAGGACTGAATGGTAATTTTGATTATTTTGACAAACATTCTGATACAATGATCAAGATAAAGCTAATTTATGTACACAGCACAGTTCACGCTTGAAGCAGTTTCAAAGTGCTTTACATACAATTTAATCTGACTTCAATTTAGAAGAAATTGAAATCAATCTTTTAAAGTGGCCTTTTTCATATACATCCTAATCATTTTTTAATGTAGCACACATTCTTTTAAAACTCTGCCAACAAATATCTACAGTTTGATGTTACTTACTGTAGATGAAAATGAATGCATATGTATACATACATAACTGTCCAGTCCTATTGCAGATAGTTTATAACATAACATCTAAACCTTAACGCTTGGTTTTTGTTTGCATTATAGTGGAGGTCGTGATTCAGATCGATCACAGTTCACCATAGCAAGCACACCAAAGTTATTATTGTTGTTATTATTGTTAATAAATAACTAATTATAACTAATTATTGTTATTTTATGTTATGTCATGTTTCATCCATGAAACATTATGAACGTGCTGTGCTGTTTACTCCACATGTCTAGATAAGGATTGTGATATAAAAAAAAAAAAACATTGTTCACGTCATATTTCACTTTTTGCTGCTATTAATGAACCACACCATTCTCAACAAGCCGGACACTGTGTCACCAGCTTGTCAAAACCGACGAGTTGAGTGGCTGCAGCTAATCCTGACCAATAACCTGAGCAGGACAGAGAAGACCAAACGGTGTAGAAATTTTTAAGACAACAGTAATTACAGCTCCAAAAAGTTTGAGTGTCAGTGAATATAATGGATATGGGAGAAATCAACATTTATCATGACGTATTATGTGTGCTGCAGCTAAAATTTGAGCTGAGCTGCAGTTTTTCTGTCTGCGAACATGAAGGGTTTGAATTTTAATTGCAAGTGTTGTAGATGGATATAAATAATAAATAAATAAACCCAATGGAACATTTTTTCAAAAAGATAAAAGCATCCATCAGTAAGAATCACACAGAAGCTGGTAGAAAAGCAGCTGGCCCAGAGGTGACATAAGGACTTGGGGTCTGTATTGACAAAATAAATCAATACTGATCCCTTCACAGTATTTTAAAAACCACAGAACATTGCTGAATGTCCAAACGTGTTATTAGATAAATATCAGATATTCATGATGCAGTGTCCACCGTGTGGACACAAATATGTAGTCTTGTATGAGGTCAGACACACAAGAATGTGTACACACAGACACTGTCAGATGTTAAGTATCGGCCGATTCATCTCTCTGCCACTGCTGCACGGTGGCATGGCAAGAATCCTCGTCCCTGTGGAGCTCACCTCTCTGTGTCCTCACACAAACACACACACTTCATGCAAGCCCGGGCTGTATGTCATTGCTTAAAGTAATTATTACAGCTCCCTTGGCTCACATTTACACACTTCTTTCTCACACCTCTCTCTCTTTCTCTCAGTTGCCATGCCCATTGACAGTGTTATTTATTACTGCTTGACAACACTGTCTTCTTGCCTTCAGATATTAATTGCTATTTGTACATCATCCATCCATCAATTTAGGAGCTCCTTCGCTCATCACTTCACTCATTTATTCTTTTGTTAATCATGTATTCCTTTGTCTTTCAAATTGCAAAGACGTATTTGTTGAGCTCAGGATTTCATGTGGGGTGTAGTGCATTAAAAGCCGCAGTCAAAACAGGGTGAGTCCCTTAATTCCTCCACTTAGTCACTCATTCCCAGCTTTTTGTTTATTTACACCGTTGATTAGTGAATCCATCCACATGTCCTCCGATATCCACTCTTTTTTTTTTTTTTATTTGTCCTTCCATTAGGTCTTCCACTTTATGACAGCTTGAATGTACTGTTGGAGCTATTTGTTCTGTTCTTGTATTGTCTCTTTTCCAAATGCCAATCACTGACTAAAGCTAAAAGGTGTTCTGTGTGTGTTCTCTACAGGCAGCCGGTCCCGCTGTGGAGAGGCCTGCAGGAGTGGACCGAGCCCAAGGCAAACACACCTTCAGTGGCAGGTCAGTTTTTGTGTTACTCTTGTACTGACGTCCACTGTGATATGGATCCATTCTGTTTCTATCCATCATGCTGAATCAGTGTGTTGATAAACCTCAGTAATGGGTTTGGTTAAATAATCTCTAAAAGCCACACTATCTCTCTGTCTTTAGGACTCTGTGTGTTACGTACTCAGTTTTTGTGTGTGTGTGTTTGTCTACATTCATGTTTATTGATGTTTATATGTGTGTTTGTGTCCTACTTTCCCTTCATTAAAGCTGTATTCTAATCCAGATCAAGGCCCTTACAGATATAGTTAGTGTAAAGAAGCTCCATCATTAGCCCACTACAAAAGACTGCCAAAACGCGGTCAGGGTCACACACACACACACACACACACACACACACACACACACATGCACACACACACACACGATGAAAATAAACAGCTACAAACACACTTGCATCTGTCTTTTTTTTTTTTTTTTATAGGTTGTCGCAAGTGAACACACACATGCATACACTGATGACTGCTGCTTAATTAAGTGTTAGGGATGCAGAATGCACTGTGTCTCTGGTGAGCCTTTTAACCGTGCGTGTTTATGTGTGTCCTAGCTTATTTTAGCAGTGTGTGTGGGGCAGGGGGATGTGGGGGCAGGCTCATGCATCCTAGCACAGAGCAAGGACAGAACGTTTTCATACATGTAACAAACACGTAGCGTAATAGACTCCTTTGATTCTGTCTATGTGTATTCGTTTTTTTTTTTTTTTGTCTTCGTTTGATGACTGTGGTCTTATTGTTGTGTTGTTTTGAATATCATTCCGAATTGATGATGATCACGCATGTTGTTACCAACGCCGCACAGAGGCCATATTTTCATTTACTTGATGTAGGCCAAAGGTCTGTCTCAGACGGGATAAAAAACAAAGTTGTCTTCTTAGTGCCCACACAACTAAACCAGGGCCAGTCTCTGCATTCGCATGACTAATACAAAACCAAGGCAGTAAAATTGAGAAAGTGACTGTTACATCATTGATGAATGTGGTGCTCTGTCTGACAACACTGACCTCTGTTAATGGATAGTATATTAGTCTGTGATTTAGAAATCAGCAGGTCAGTATGGTCATGCAATTAATCTGCAGTTAATTCATAAATACTAAAACAAAATAATGTGTAGTTAACCTGTAACACGGACATGTACAGATAGAGAGTTAGGGCTGTGTGGAAAGAGTAATGTTGACCCCATCCTGAGCTGTTTTAGTCTCTCTCCATGGCAACCAGCTGCAACCACAGGGGACAGACAGAGATTAGCTCACTCACACATGTACCCTCACTCATATTCATTGTACCATACTTCCTCAAATAGTTGCCGGGGCCTTTATTTGCCTCGACTGCAGAAGGTAACAGGTCTTTGGTAGAAGCAGGCTTTATTTGTAATTTCCTCTGTTTGCTATACAGTATAGTATAACTGGCCATATTTTGGTAAGAAGTCTTGTTAAAGTTACTTCATTATGCTGTTCATACAAACTCAACACTTCCTGGAATCGTTTCAAATTAAAAGCCCTCTTGCGTTTCAGTGGACAGAAACCCTCCATTTCTTAACACACTGCAACACACAGCCAGACAGGATCAGAATGAATGTATCATATACTTAATATGAGTAATCCAGAACAACAAAGTGTTGAAAATAGTTTTATTATTATGTTGTTGAATTGATTACATAAAAACAGTAGAAATGTGCATTAATCGGCATGCACATTACATGACATGCTCCAGGAGTTTATCCACCCCTGGGGGCTGGCCTTTATCTGTTTGTGTCGACCATGCCCTTGGCCATTATTGGAGACTTTTAATTCACTCCTGGTTTTTATTTGAGTAAATATGGTATACTGCATAGAGGCACACTCTCCATCGAAGATCTGGGTAGTAACTGAATTTTTTCTTAGCTCTCTATTGAGTTATGATCAAATTATGACATTGAGTTACTGTAATACGCAATCCTGTCACCTCAGTTAATGAAGCAAATTCTGATTAAAATGATTAGACGGGAACATCTAAATGCAAGTGAATCAAATTAAATAGTTGGACAATTTTAGTTTCATTGCGCCTTACGCTAGTATACACTTCCATGCGGTGAATATGAAGGTCATTATTTTATATACGGACACCCTCACAGTTGTTTGATTTCCTCAATAATTTTTTTTTCTTTTTTAACATATCCTCTCATGTACACACACACTCACACACACACAACCATCTCAGCTGTGAGTAATGTAAAAGTGATGTAATGGTTTTTGTGGTTGTCGGGGAAACGATCCTTGAAATTGCAAAAAAAGTCCAAAATGAGTAGAGGAAGGCAGCTATAAATATTGGAACAGTAAAGCATTCGTTAAATAAGCGTGTGCGTGTGTGTGTTTGTGTTTGTGTTTGTGTTTGTGTTTGTGTTTGTGTTTGTGTGTGTCCGTGTGTGTGAGGGCCTTTTGAGTGTGAAGCTACACCTATAAATACAGTAATGGCTTATCATAATTTTAACCACACAGCACGCTCACCGCAAAACTCATTACCTTTGAATCAAAATGTCCTTTTTATACGGGGAAACAGATTTACTGTAAATTGGTTTATTGAAATAGCATTGCCAGTATATTATATTTCTTTGAGAAATAAGGCTCTGTAATGGAGGCGTTTTAGAAGGGAGGAGGTGAAGAGGTAAATAGGTTTCACTGGATGCACAAAACAAACTGGATGTGAAAGGGGTTTTCCATGGATAACAGAGTTTATTCATATGTCATTTTGGGACCTAACTCTCTGATTCAACAGTGAGAATCCCTGTTGTGATGGTAATGTGATACTTGGTCTGTCTGTTAGTAAATCTCTCTCTCCCTACCTGTTTCTCTCTGTCCATCTGTTTTTCTATACCCCTGTCTTTCTTCTCTGTTTCGTTTCTTCCTTTTGTATTCTTCTTTCCAGCGTTGTTCCTGTTTGTCTGTTTCGTCTTCTCCCATCCTATAAGTCTCTCTTTTCATATGCACAGCAGGATAAACATAATGCATGAGCAACTGTTGACCTGGTGCAGACCTGCAGTTGTACTCTCTCTTCTTCTTCACTTACCACACAATATGTAATAATCTTCCAAGGTTTGGCCTATATCACTGGAAACCAATATTGCAATAAATAGTAGACCTTTTGTTAATTCTTTGTACTGAAGGATAAATATTATTACTAGTTGTAGATTTAACATATTCAGTCGTAGAGATGTGCCGATATACCAGTACAATATACCTCAGCAAAATGTCCTGATGGTAAAAATACCTTACTATGAAATTTTGTTTTAGAAGGCAATGAGAACTCAGCACAACTCTCCTGTCTCCTAGCACTTTTATTTTGATAAACCATATAGGAGTTTTTTTTTACCAGTCAAAGACACAGCAGAGACTGACAACCAGGTTCTACTCTTGCAGTGACCACGTTGGCCACAACGTGCTATGTTAACATTACCTAGTGGATCTAGTGATGTTTGTGTGTGCTGAGTTCTTACTTTTAAAGAGGAAACTCCATGCCTCAAGATTTTGCTCATGACATTTTTCCTCATGGGTCAGCTTCAACTCTGGGTAACTCTGGGAGTTGTTAGCAGTAATCTGGAGATAATGTGCAGACAAGTGAATGGTGCCAGTGTAAATGTGCTGTGGTCCATTGCTGTCACATTCTGCTTTTTGACAAGTAATATCCAGCAGGAAATATGAAAGAAACAAAACATTTCACACACTTAAATTAAATGAATACATTTTGTGTTTTGTTTTGTGGACTGAAGTGTTGTAAATAAAGGGTGTTGGGATTTTTGGGGGCATCAATTAACAACCAGTCAAAAAAAAGGTGTTAATATGTATCAAAACCTGAATGGATGCATACAATCTAAGTGAAACAGAAACCATTTTCAACCAATTTTTAACCAACTATCAGTTATTAAATGGCCAGCCTGCTTTTTTAGTTAGTTGTTTAGTGTCTTTGATGTTAGTTTTTTTTCCAGGGTCCAACAAAGATGCAACATGTCAGTTTGTTAGGTTTGATTTAAATCCAAGGCAAATATGGTGTGAAGTAATTTTACTATATTATGTAAAAATGATTGGAGCATAAAAATTTGATGCTGAAATCCTATTCACTAGTAAAGAAAACATTTTGATATTTGTTTACTACAACTTTTCTAAATACATGAGATATAATGTAATGCGTTTTAATGCAGTATACTTACACTTGATTGTTATTGATATCATTAAGCTGTGTGCTCTTTCATTCATCAAAGAACTACTATTTATAGTGTGTTTTCATTTCTTTTGTGAATGTCTGTATTTCTGTATTTGAATACATTGATCTTTGGCAGCATTGTGCATTTTTACTGGTTTCCCTTTACTCTCTACATCTCTTGTGCTCTCCACTTTGAAGGCCAGCTTAGAGAGAAAGAGAGAGAGAGAAAGGGAGATGATAAATAAGAAGAAGGATGAGAGGGTGAGATGCAGTGAGAGGAAGAGAGTGGTTTGGTAATGCACATCCTCCTTTTTTGTTATTTCTCCTCTGTGTTTCTGTCTTTCATAGTGAGGATCAGTGAAGTGGCAGGTGGATAAAGAGAACACCTGCTCTCTTCATCTCTCTCTGCTCCTCTCCCTCTCCCTCTCTGTGTGTTTGGCCCTTTCTCTCCGTCTCTTGTTCTCTCACATTGCGCTCCCTCTCCCATTTCTTCTCAAGTCTCACCCATTTTGTCTCTCTCTCACCCCCACTTCATTTTTTGCATTGATGCAGCCTGTCAAACATCTCACACAAAAAATAAAAAAAGGAAATGCAAATGGATCTCAAGTGCTTGTGTGTGTGTGTGTGTGTGTGTGTGTGTGTGTGTGTGTGTGTGTGTGTGTGTGTGTGTGTGTGTGTGTGTGTGTGTGTGTGTGTGTGTGTGTGGCTAGTGGGAGTGTTAGAGATCAGAGGCACAGCAGCAGGAAGGGATAGAGGGAGGGGTGGATGTTATTTTTTCCTCTCATATTAATGCTATTCATTAGCCTTGTCTAATTAATTCACTGCCTCCTCCTCCCTTCATTTCAGTATATCTTGCTTCCAGTCCTCCCTTGCTTCTTACCTTCTTTCCTCTTTCCCCTCCCTGTTTTCTTCAGTTTTCTGTATTTCTTCCCCTTCTCTCTTCCTTTCCTTTTTCTAACCCGTATACTTTTTTGCCTTGCTAGCAATGTCAATCTAAAGATGGCATTTGGTTGGCCAAGCACCGTGGTGGAGACTGAAATATGTCAACAAATGTTGGATGCATTGCCTTGCAATTGGATAGATATCCAACGTCTCCGCAGGATGAATCCTGTGATCCCCTGACTTTTCCTTGCGTAACCATGGTGTCAGATTCTTCAGTTATTCAGTGAAAGACCTCAATATATATTGGAAGGATTTGCACAAAATTTGGTACAGACATTCAGGATTCTGTTAGCTAGTAAGATTGACGACGTTATGACTTCTTCTCTTGCACAATCGCAGGGAAAATTTTCATTTTTTAAATAAATTTTTATGTCCAAAAATCCTAGAAGACGAAAAACATTTCCACCAGCCTCATCTGTGCCTTTTGTTTTGTGCTATTTATCAAATGTTAGCATGCTATCAAGCTAAAAACATCATCTAAATCATCTTTGTTGTTGTTAGCAGGTTGACATCATTCATTCTACATTCCAATTGTATATGTACCCTACCAATCTTTAAGTATAAGCAGATAGTCCATTTATCAATTATGACCAGAAGTGTTGTTGCAGAACAATATGATGTCACAGTCAAGTTGACCTTTGAGCCTTTGGATATAAGTGTCATCCCTTCATCATTTTATCCTATTAGACATTTGTGTTAAATTGTGCCATAATTCTTGTATGAACTCTTGAGTTATGGCCAAAAACGAGTTTTGTGAGGTCAGAGTGACCTCAGTGTTTGAGCTTTGACCACCAAAATCTAATCAGTTCATCCTTGAGTCCAAATCAATATTTCTGCCATATTTCAAGAAATTCCCCCAAGTCGTTACTGAGATATCTTGATAACAATATTTAAGGATGTATGGACAACCTGAAACATAAAAACTATAACAAAACCAAACGATGTGGAGGCCAGGGGAGAGAGAAGGACTGGCTGCCTGCCACCAGTGTATACAATGCAGACAGGCCAGGTGAGCTGAATTTCCCTGTCAGCTGCTGTCCACCCACCAGACTCCAACAGGGAGAGGCTTGCCCAGAGAGGGTCAGCACATTTTCCAAAATTGTTTTGTTTTCTGAGGTGTTCTTAGAGATTTTTCACTACCAATTACAATCAATCAATCAATCAATCAATCAATCAATCAATCAATCAATCAATTTATTTATTTATTTATTTATTCTTTGGAACTGAGAGCAGCTCTCCCATTTCCTTTGTGTATTACATATTGGAAGAGCAGTGTTCTTAGTGTGTAGTTTGACTTTTCAGTGTACTGTAAGTCAATTTTCCCGTGTAAACACAGAACATACTCAACACCTGCTCAGAACTAGAACATAGTTTAGAATTGGAACACAATTTAGTCTTCTTTATCTCTTATCCCCATCTTTTTTTTACCTCTCCACTGTCTCCATTCTTTCCTCCCTTTTTCATTTTCTCTCTACTCTCTCCCTACCTTTCTCCCCACTTACATACATTTCCCCCTCTGTCCTTGCCATCATTTCTCTTCCCCTCTCTTGCAGTCCCTTGTTTCTTACTGTCTGGATTAACTCAAATTTGCTGAGTGGCGATGAGGCAGCATCTGCTCTCTGTATATGTGTGTGTGTGTGTGTGTGTGTGTGTGTGTGTGTGTGTGTCTGTGTGTCTGTGTGTGTGTGTGTGTGTGTGTGTGTGTGTGTGTGTGTGTCTGTCTGTCTGTCTGTCTGTCTGTCTGTCTGTCTGTCTGTCTGTCTGTCTGTCTGTCTGTCTGTCTGTCTGTCTGTCTGTGTGTCTGTGTGTGTGTCTGTGTGTGTGTGTGTGTCTGTGTGTGAGCTGGAGAGACAGAGACAAAGAGAGAAAAGGGAAAGTTGTTTTTGCACTTCGCATCTCTCCCCTGTCGCCACCCACCATCATCAACCACCCTCTCTCTGGAGTTTATCAGCATCTGCACTACCATCAGTTCATGGAGGTTTAGGGATAGATGGTCTACAGAGAGGGAGGGAGACAAAACGAGCACACAGAGTTAGAGACAGAGAGAGAAAGGAGGGTATAACCAAAGAGCACAAAACTAAGTTCAGACAAACTCACTTAGAAAAACGCACACACACAGGGAGCAGAGAGAAGGTCAGGGGAGGATTAATGGCTGTGCTCTGATAGATAAACTAATCAAACAAACAAAGACACACATTAAAACACAGACAGAATGTAAAGCAGACACTCGCTTGAATAATCCAAACTAGACAGAGGCATTGAGAGATTCAAAGAGAGGAAGAAACCCATAGAGATGACTGGCACAAAAAAGTTTTGACAAACAAGCACACACACACAGAGAGCAGTCTGTAGTTTTGTTGACTTTGAATAGAGTGTTGGCATCCCCTTCTCTATGGGCTGGGTTCACAGACATGGATTAAGTCCTTGACAAAAAAAAGTATTTTTAGCACAATGGATGCATGCATGGAAAGGATGTATCAATCGAGGATAGTAGTTTTCAACCGTAACCTCAGGAGACACACATTTTCAGTACTGTTGTTATTCTGGTGTCCGTCTGTATTTGTGTGGCACAACACGTGTTTGTGTGTGTGATCTTTCCCACATTGTGTGATCGAGCCTTTTTCTCTTTCTCTGTCTTATTTGTACCTTTATTTACCCTATTAGTCTCTGTCATGCTTTATATTCTGAGTGTATATCTACAATGAAGGATTGATCAGATTTTTTATGTGACAGGCCTTTATCGTGTGTTTTCCAGGTAGCTTGTGTCACAGATTTGTCTGTGAATGGTTGATCATTATGCAGAGTATCTCTGGAAACAAACAAACACTAAACAGGGGGAGATAAACTGGGGTTAGATGGTTCTTAAAATATATAAAAAAGATAAATAAAATTTTGTGGGATAAAGAAAATAGAGGTTTTCAACATTTTCTGTAATGAGTAACTCATTTTCACAGTCCATACAATTGAACTATTGGACAATTCATCAAGACAGTGCCAGTAAAACGTATGTGAACCCTTTCGAGTGACCTGGTTTTCTGCATTAATTGGTCAGAACATGCGCTCAAGTGTAGACAAACACAATGTGCTTAAGCTAATATTACACAAACAGTTGCAATCTTTCTGTCTTAATTGAACACAGCCATTACAAATCCCCAGTGCTGGCGGAAAAAAAGTGAGTGAACCCTCGGCTTTGATAACCGGTTGAACCTCCTTTGGCACCAATAATCTCAAACCAGCTCTTCCAGTAGCTGCTGATCAGACCTACACAATTTTCTGGAGGAATCCTGGACCATTCTTCCTCGAGAGCTGCTTCAGCTCAGACATACTGTATTCTTAGGATGTCTGGTGTGGGCATCTCTCTTCAGGTCATTCCACAGCATCTCTACTGGATTAAGCTTTCCAGAAGGTGGATTTTCTTCGTCTGAAGTCACTCTCTAGTAGATTTACTTTGATTCGTGGTGGTCATTGTCTTGCTGATGCACAGTAGAAGCTGGGTGATTCAGCCACCCTGACATTATCCTGTAAGATACCTTGATAAGTGGAATACATTTTCATTTGGAGTCATCTTGGCTGGGTGTCCACTCTTAGGATGAGTGGCCGCAATTCTAGACCATCTCAATTCACAGATGAAGATTTATGCAAAGCAATTTTTAAATGTAAGCCCTTTTTGCGAGGCATGGTTTACATCAATGGATGTTTGAGTGGTTTATAAGTCAAACTAGCTTTAACCCACACCTCCAGTCTTCTTTCATTGTCTGGACTCCAGGTTGATAACTCCTGACTCCAGTTAGCTTTTGTTGATGCCATTAGCCCAGGGGTTCACATACTTTTTCTAACCCACACTGTTATTGTTTGCAAAACAAAAGTATAATTTTTATTTATTGATTGTGATTGTAAAACATTCTTTCCATGTGCTAACATACCGTTTTACTGCCTTAATGGAGAAAAAAAAAATCACCTCAAAACACCTCAAATCCATAGAGTACACATTCTTTTTCTTGCTCTATGTGCCTTGGATCTGTCTCTTGATCTGTGTGTATCCTGGGATCAGCACTTTCCATAATTACTACTACTACTAACTACATAATAGTTCAACATTTGTAGGCCTATTTTATACTCGTGTCTCCTCATGTCCAATATTGGGTTATTTTTAGTGTTAAGTCAAAGCTGTTAGTGTGACGGAACTTGCACCTGTAGTGTATTTGAGTATACTAATATTACATATATTGTTTTTTTCCCCACTGATTTGATGTTTGTGGTGTGTGTATGTGTGTGTAGCCTGACCAGGACAGTGGAAATCCTGGGAGAGGACAGTCCCCTGGGAATCCATGTGGTTCCCTACTGCTCATCACTCAGTGGAAGGTGAGTTGTGCATTCACACGCTCAGTCACATAGGTGTATGCACACAAAAACAACAGATACCCATCTATAAAAGCCCGTATTCTGCCCTTTCACCTCAGAAAGCCTTGCCTGTTTACCAGCTACAGTATGTCCCAGAGTTATATTCTCGTAATCCTGTTCTGTACTTGAAAGGAATTCTTTGTCCCTTGCACTGCAGCACACACACACACACACACACACGCACACACGCACACACACACAATGGAAAAAGGAAGAAAAGGAAGAAAAATTGCACAGCTATGCAGGGCTTTTATTTGGGTGTGTGACAGTCAGACAGTGGAAGGGGGATTTCCTAAAGGAAAGCAGGATGAGTTTTTATGGCTGTTCTCATGACTCACCTGACCTTACCGATCTCCTCCTTAAGTTTCCCCCTCTTCCTCTCGCTTTCTCTGTCTGTCTCTCTCTGTTCTCTTTTTCCTCTCTTGTCCAGCTTTACTGTGTCATCTCCTCCCTCTTTCCTGAACACCTCCTCTATCTCTCTCCACCATTTACCATAATCTCTTTCACCTCTTAACCTACTTTCATCCTTTTGGAGCTCAAGTCTTTTGTGTGTCACTGTCATCATTTCTGCTTTGTTAAGCAGTGTTTTGATGAGGAAACGGTAGATGTTATAGTCTGAGGATACTGAAAATGTTTTTTCAGTCCATTCTACCAACTTACTGTTTGTAAATGTATATACCTTTACACCTGTCTGTCTGCTTGTCTTTTTATGTCTTTATACTGTGTACGTGTGTGTGTGTGTGTGTGTGTGTGTGTGCGTGTGCGTGTGCGTGTGCGTGTGTGTGTGTGCGTGTGTGTGTGCGTGTGTGTATATAAGACCACTCTGCTCCTGCACTGACTTTTATCAGTAAATAGGGGATAATATAAGTACAGATTCAAATCGACACACTTTCGCAAGTCATTCCAAGAACGTGTGTCCTTATGTATGCTTACAAGTATACAAGGATTTAACAAAAATGGATGAAATGCAGCTTGTAACCTCCCTCTCTCTCCTCGCTCGCTTTCAGGTCTCTCGGTCTATACATCCGTGGAGTGGAGGAAGAGAGCCGCTCAAGAAAGGAGGGCTTGTTTCAAGAGGACGAGTGCATCGTCAAGATCAACAACACTGACCTAATAGACAAGACATTTAGCCAGTGGGTGCAACACTGTTTGTCTGTGCTAGGAGTACAGATACATGCATATGCAATCAGGACCAGGGAAGGATTAATTTTCCATTTTAGAATGACAGTATATTGTCAGTTCATGATTCTGGGTTAATGTAGGGATGGACGCCGGTCTAATTCATTGAACAGGGTCAGTTCACCTTAATTACAAAAAGCAAACAAACAAAAACAATCCCATGTTTTCTCACCTTTCTCCAGTGATATCTAGCTATGCAGGAAATTCAGTTTTTTTGCTCATGTTTTAATGAATCAATGTTTTAATGGAGATAACATCCTTCACCCCACACCAAGTACAGTTAACTGAAATGCTTAGCCGCACCACTACAGAGAAGAAATCATTAAAACTAGATTAGATTTGAGCCTTAAATATTGTATGTAGGTTTGAGTACCCAATTAAGTCACATTAAAGTTGCAGATGCCTCACCTACTGTGATTTTTTTAAACACTATCAGAAAAAGAAAAAGTGAACCAGAGTAGTTGCTTTCATGCAGAAAACCTGTTGGAGTCAGGTCTGGCCTGTCTTTTCTTATTCTTCAATGCTGTCCGTCCTTCTGTCTGTTTTGTTTCCTTCTTTCCATTGTCAGAGGGCTTGTATATCACTGTTGTAGTGGCATCACCGAGAACGGCAGAAAAGACACTTGGCAGATGTTTGTAGAGTGTTGCTTTCAAAGTCATCTGCGTGTGTGTGTGTGTGTGTGTGTGCATGCATGTGTTAGAGCTGGCCTTCTTGTGTCTTCACGTTCCATCTCATTCCTCTCAGGCAAGATTTGTTCAAGATTCATTTGAGACCAGATGTTTCTCAGTAGAGTTTGCTTACTGTAGCATTGAAGCACCTGAGACAAAGTACATTAACATGAGAGTATTTGGGAATGTAACATGATTGCAGAGCATTAAAATGACAAAAGACACACTTGTAAAAACGATTGCCACAGATTACGGGGACCGATGTGGATGGTACAATGATTATCACACATTACAATGTCTATATAGTCTACACAGTCCTTGTCCAGTGTTCAGTGTGGTAATGAGATTATATGTGAGGTATTTTATGCTGTACTGTAGGTAAAGGGATTATCACCGGAGGGGTTTGTGCCTATTGTTCAAAAACAGGTGTATACTCACTCTCTCACAAACACCAGTTCACACATACATGCACACACACACAGTTTTTCACCCGTAGACATTCAGTCTAAAACACATGTACACACACATCCATACACGTGAGCAAACTAGTCTTCAGTCTCGCATGAGATACATCCAATTCATTTCTTAATAATGACAGCACACACGCACACACATGCACACGCACACACACACACACACCCACACACACACACACACCCACACACACACACACACACACACACACACACACTTGCCAGTATTGTTCTGTCATGGCAAGTGTATTGAGATATACAGCTTGGTCCAGTGTCCAGTGAAATATGTGTAAGTAGGCCACTGATAGTCCACTGATCCCTGTGAATGCTATGTCCACCCACACACACACACACACACACACACACACACACACACACACACACACACACACACACACACACACACACACACACTGCCATTGTCCCAGCTTGGCAGCTGTATTGAGGAGGCCTGCTTGATTATAATATCTTTTTTTTTACACAAATGTGCCTGCACATGTTGTCCAATCAGGAACAACAATGATATCATCTGTGCACAATGGTCCCAATACACACGTCAACACACACAGCTTACACATCTAGTTTCATTGTACTGTATTGTGGTCTTAATACAATGAAAATCACTTCAAGTGTCATTCAGCAAGGTGTGACACAAGCACTTGCTTAGAATGCTTAATGTGTTTAACGGTCTCAATATGCAAATCCTGCCTGAGAGGAATGAAGAAGAGGTGACCACCCATCCCCAAACACGCAGACTCACAATGTCTTAGAAATTATTCTTACTTGGAGCATCATTCACAGAAGTTGGCTCTTGTAATTAACAAACAGAAAAATATCAGAGGGTCGCTCTACCCTGTGTAGACTGGCAGGTTTAATGGGTATAGTTGATTTGCTCTGGTGATCAAGTGATCATCATCATATTAATATCATCAGGTATTATTATTGCATATCTAACCTATTGAAACGCACACATCCCTCATACATTACTTTCTAAACATAGTCTCTAGTTACGGAAACATTATGATCATTACATGTAATAATAATCTAGGCAGGAAACAATAGGAGAGTAATCCAATCAAATTTAAATAAACTGGATTTTCTCTGTCGGTTATCTGAGGTGAAGGATGGTGTGTACCAATCGCTCCTGACACAATGGTCCCGTTAACTAATTTAGCATAATCTGATATAAACTAATTGTTGGCACAATCATCTTTTTTTTATAGATCACAAGATTATAATGGCCTGCTGCACAGGTGTCATGGTTCTGTGTCGCATCCTCTGATCTGTCTTGTCAGGAGCTCAGTGAAGATAAAAACAGAAACAAACACAGTGAGAGGAAGTGACCACTGGCATTGGGAAAATAGATAGAAATAAACATTTAAGGTATACAGATTAAAACAATATAATGCAGGTTAGATTATAATGTCTGTCTGTCTATCTGTCTATCTATCTATCTAGCAAATGACACACATCTCAGTTTCACATATGTGTTTTATTTTATACAATAAGTTAATAGATATTTTTGTAGATTTATCCAAGACTAGTTGTGCAAAACTCTTTTTTTTATTGATTTAATGATCTTAGAAATTTCATTTGATTTCACATTCTTATCAGATTTCTCTCCAATGTCTCCTACTTTATAAGGCATACACCCAATAAAACACATAATTTAGCCATACAACAAAACAAACATTAGAAATAACAATCTTTACATCAAAAATAAGCAGTTGCAATGCAATCAGTTTCATCGCTTGACATCGCTTACACATGTACTGAAGTCTTAAAAGAAAATAGTGCACAAACTGGATGCAGTGCACTAAAACCCAGTGAAACTTGACCGCTGGCTACTGAGAAACCAAAATCAGTTTTCTCACCAGGTTAACTTGGGTTAGATAAAGTAGTCACCTACCAACTATGTTTTTCACATCATTGTACATTTTAAATAGGATTATGACATATTCATCACTTGTCAAATAAATAAGCAATATAAGACATCACCTCAGGTTCTCATGACTTCTGATAAGCACTTGTCATTGTTTCTGATATTTAAGAAACTAGATAATCAGTTGATTAATTGAAAAAAATGAACTGCCAATGACAACAATTGGTAGTTATAATAATCTCTCTTGAAAATGACAAATAACTCAATCTGTTTAGTAACGATATATGAGCCTAAAATATGTAATGGTTTATTACGATATTTGAAAATTGAACAGGCCATTTATAATCATTAGCTATTAACTGGAACTTGTTTAATTTGTCATTTGTAATTAAGTTTATACTGTTATCTTTTATTATTATGTTTCTTCTATTTGAGTTATGTATCCTTTGATAATGACTTTGCTTGTCAGAGATTGATGCATTGTATGTAATTATGATTAATGGCATGATTAGTTTTAGTGGTAAATGAGTATGGACGACACATACCTTACTTAAAACTCCACTCACTTGTTGAAGAAAACTTTTGCTCTGCTATTACCTCTCTTGCTTTGCACCAATCACCTACCTCTCTCTTTCTCTCTGTCTCTTTTTGTCTTCACCCCTCTCCTCCTCCACCCTTCCAGGGCCCAGGAAGTGTTTCGTCAGGCAATGCGTTCCCCAGTTGTCCGCTTGGAAGTAGTTCCCTCCTTCAACAGAGAACGCTATGAGAAGAGCCTGATTGGTCAGCTGTTTGGCAACAGTGCCGGTCCTGACAGCAGTCCCCGAATCGCCAAAACCAAAGAACCACCTCCGCCTGTCAAAGCCAAACCTATGTTTAAGCCCTCTGAGAATCCAGCCGCACGATTGGCAGAGGATGCTGCCGTTCTGGAAGCTGCTGTCAGTGTAAGTTGTTCTGCTCCAAGTCGACAGTTTAACATGGATCACTCAGAGACATTTTGATTTGTGAACTTCCTGAAACAGTTTTTTTTTTATCTCACATACTGAATATACAGTATAAGACGGTTGGAAAAGGTTTAATGATAAATATGGATGCCTAAAAACCTAAGTACCTCCTCCAATCTTCCTCCGTCCAACGACCTGCGGGTTTTCATGAACTATATTTTTATTTTGTGCATGATTTCCGACTTCTGAATCATGTCAGGGTAGGTTTAGTTTGTAGAAACAGTATGAACCTCACATTATTTTTGCTCGGTTCCTGTCTCTCTGCTAGAACCATAAAGTGTTTCCTATTCAAACACATGTAATTGTGGCGTCAGCATCACCATGGTGACATGGCTGACATTTGAAAAACAGCTGGCATAGAGGCAACAGTTACTTAGCAACAGATGAATATCATCTTATTTTATTTATTGTTTTTTTTTTTTTTTTTTTTAAGTGTTGTTTTGTGATTTTGTAACACAGATGTTGGAGCACTGCTTCCTAAAGTTTTCTCAGGGCTCTGCATCATTTCTCAGCTTCTGGTGCTTCCATACATACAAATATATCCCATCCCAGTTTGTCTCACTACATCAACTTTGTGTGATACTTCCTTTTCACTTATAATAATTTGTGTTTCTATCATTTTCAGATACAATCAGTGCTTGATAAGTGGATGACATTGACAATGACTCATATGTGGTCACTTTTGTATTATAGGCTATTAGTCTGCTTTAACAAATATCACCTCACTCTATTTTTTTTTACGTCTTATGAAGAAATAGCTCAATTTCACAGTTCACAGAGCAGTCCAGTCATTAGAAATGATGCAAGTAGAATGTGACAAACTGGGGAAATTGAAATATGCAAATGGCTCATTTAAATAGTTAAGCTGATGTGGACATCCTCTCTCATAGCCTTATATTTTTTTTAATGCATTTTAGTTCCGTAAAAATGGCTTGAATGCTTTACTTTCTTCACATAGACCCCCAAAGGGAGAAGTGAGAGCCCCCTCCTTAAGAAAAGTCCTGCTCTCTCCAGCTTGGTGGGCAATAAGAGAGGAGGCCGAAGATTGAGGATCGACTTAAAGAAAGGTGAGGAGCCGGGCCTCAGAGCCTCACTCACACTGTGAGAGTCCAGCTTCTTTCTAGAGACGTATCACATGAGCATTGTCTGTAAATATGACTTATTTAATTGATAAGTGGAGATATTGCTGAGAAGTCACAACTCTCTTCTTTCTGTGCTTTTGAAGCAGTTCCTCAGTTTTCTAGTCCTCTAAATTAATGCTGTTCAGTTTCAGCACTCACGTTTGAGTACAAGTGATGGACAGTGTGTGGAGCTTTTGCCTTTTGATCCTATACACCTGGTTTTGAGACTTTGAGGTGTGCAAGAACTTTTATTTTGGCGTGTGCGTGTTTGTGTGTCAGATCAGCACTCTGTTTTTAGAGATTCAGGTAGAGCTGAAAAGGTTTGTGGAGTCACATCTGTTCTTTTTATCTCTATTTGTTCCACTTTATTCATTATTTTTCTTTCACTTTCATTCTGTCATTTTTATGACTGTAGATAATTGACCCGCTTCATGTCTCTTCCTGTTCTCCCAGCATTGTGTTTATTTTTATAAATATTCCTTTCTCTGCTCTCTGGCTGACTCTCCTTCCTCTCACCCTTCTTCTCTCAGTCTTCCTGATTCCCTCTCTTCAGGGTCTATTAAGTCTTTATTGATCTGTTCATTTCTGCTGATATGAATTCATACTGGACCAAACTGCTGACTTGGCTCTGCTAAAGAGACCGGACTAAATGAGGTCTATAAAACACAACTAGTCTCTCTGTCTGTGTGTGGCCCCTTATTGTGCACGTGTGCATGTGTATGAGTGTTTTTTGTGTATGTGCACCTGTTTTTCACTGATTACTATTTTAATCTTCATCACTTCTCTTTCCAGAACATTTCCGCTGTGTTACACTCATTCCTCTTTTACCTTTTCCTCATTGCTCCCTCATTTTCTTTTCCTCCTCTCTGCCCTGCACCTGAACCCATTTTTAAAACCCTCACACCTGCAGATAGTGTAGCAGCAGCTATAGCTAAAGGGTTTAAAACGACTCACACACACAATCTCCTAAGGCTTTAAATGATCACACTTAGAGAATATAGTCAGGAGCTGAGTCAACAACACTGTGTTGAAGTTTTCGGGAATAGTTTAGAGTGTGTGTGTGTGTGTGTGTGTGTGTGTGTGTGTGTGTGTGTGTGGATTTTTTCTCTCAAAGCCTTTTGAAGACAAATATAGACGCAGGGAGTAAATAGCTATACGGGATATTTTGTGTGTTGACATTAGCCCAGGAGTGTTACTTATGCTTGCACATTGTACCTCACGTCTCGATTCACATTTCTTTGTGTGTGTTTGTATACCTGTGTATGTGTGTCTAGGCTCAGAAGGTCTTGGTTTTACTGTGGTAACCAGAGACTCTTCAGTCCATGGTCCTGGTCCTATTCTGGTCAAAAACATTCTGCCACGTGGAGCTGCCGTCAAAGACGGACGCCTGCAGTCTGGAGACCGCATACTGGAGGTACAGAGCAGCTGACTGTTATTAGACTCACATCATCATCATCATCATCATCTAATCTGGCATTGTGCAAGTTATTACAGTACCAAACATGTGAGGCATTGAAAAAATAGAGAGTAATGGAGACTGAAATGGCGATTTTTGACTCTGTGTGTGTGTGTGTGAGTGTGTGTGTGTGTGTGTGTGTGTGTTGTGTGTGTGTGTGTGTGTGTGTGTGTGTGTGTGTGTGTGTGTGTGTGTGTGTGTGTGTGTGTGTGTGTGTGTGTGTGTGTAGGTAAACGGTGTGGATTTTACAGGTGTGGGCCAAGAGGAGTTGGTGTGTATGTTACGCAGCACACGGCAGGGAGAGAGTGTGTGCCTAGTGGTCCTACGGCAGGAAGACATGTTCCTGCCCAGAGAGATGGTAAGAACCAATCACAATGCTGTATTATCAGCCAATGAAACAAGACTTTCTGGATGAGTTGTGGTGGGTCAGTGGCCAGTTGTCGGGAAAATGGTTCCTTATTAATTTTTCTATCCAGGCAGCCACACAACTACATCATCAGTTTTCATTCTCACATTTCAACTCCCCTCTAATTTTGCAATTTTTGGTCCAATCAACAGGCTTGCCTGGATGATGCACAACTCAGCAGCCTATAGGAAGGCTTCTGTTTATAGACATTAACCTCAAATATCAGTTAGGGCTTTTCTGATTTATCTGAAAGATTATACACTTCCATGTACAACAATATTTTCACTTTAAACTTGCCAAGAAATCATGTAATATTATTTTTTCTAGTGCTCCATTCTGATTGAATCAAATGAACACCATGTAAAGCTGTTGACATTGGTAATATTTTGTGCTGGTCTACCCCTGCCACATTGTTTCTGCTGAACTGTTTTTTATTAATAAACTCTTCTTTTATTCATCCTTGTTCTATTTTTCTTTGCTTTTTCTTTAACTCTGACTGCATGATCGACTGCTGTGCATGCATCTATACGTTTTCCAGCTGTAGGTGCAATATACTTTTTTTTTCCAAATTTCTTGTTATTTCCTGACAGTTTCATAGGCTGTGGTTTTCCATTGTATTTATTTCTTTCCCATTTGCTTTCTCACTTGATGTACAGTAAATCTGTAGCTTTAATCTTTAGCCTTCCTTATTCCTGAAAGTATTTGTTCTCTAAGGTAATTTTCTGTCGTATCATCACTATCTCAGCTGTTGTCGGTGATGACTTTCATTTTTTCCTACAACTCTGAGGTGTCACTCTTTTTGCAGCACACACATCCACACTGACATAAAGAGAATAACAAGAGGTCTCACTTTCTTAGATTATAAAACCACCATTTTTCATTTGGCCCAAATTTGCTTTTGTCTCTCCACCCATCATTCATGTTTTCCACATCTCACTGTATCTTATTCTCCTTTCATGCTGCCTTTTGTGTCTCTTTTCCCTCTGTGTCTCCGTCCGCTGTCTTATCGACTGATGTTTCCTCAACAGCTGCCAGAAAGTTCGACACACAGACACATGCATGCGACCCTGAGCCCCATAGGAAATTCTGTTTCTACAGACAGGAAAGGGGAGCAATGTGCTGGAGTGTGTACATGTGTTAACATTTAGGATCATTTAGGAGTGTTGTATCTAGTCCAGAGTTTCTCCATGAGCGCATGTCTGAACTCCATGGCACTCCTCTTGGTGTGATGACCATAGATGTCTTTTTGAGTTTCATAAGTGTTGCTGAATACCTTCACTCGCCGTCCTGTCACGTGCGTCCCCTCAAAACGTCTCCACTACATCAGTACCTCTTCTTCTTCTCTACCACCATACTGTTACACAGCAAACAATGCTTGAAAGCTTCCTTGGTAGCCAATTCCCTGGAGGAGTGAATCATGATATTTTCTAGCTCCCGGATGGATTGTTGTTGTAAACTGTGGAAAAACAGACTTTAATACAGACTAACAGGTCGCTCTTTGAGACTGCTTTGGCAACTGTAATCCCACATCAGGACCCTCATGGGAAAATCAGATTCCAGTGAAAATCCCTGCTGATCTGCATACGTGTTACCATGGTTAACAAATGATTTTCATGTAGCCGATATCGCTTCCTGAATATTGAATAGTTGGTTAGCTTTTGAAATCAGGCTAAAATCCAATATCACAAAATACTTGTTTGGTCCCTTTGCTTTCAGACCACAGACAAATCTGGCCAGAGTCCGCTTCAAAACAAACTGAGACCCTTTATTCAGGTGGTCCTGCTGTGGTTGTATAGTCCACACGAGTTCGATTGACGGCTTTCACAACAGGTTAGATGTGAACGCACCCCGAGTGTATTATTTTAATGTGATGGCTGTTTGAATTGCACAGTATTTTTGTGGATGTGATCTTTTGCCAGCTTCAGTACAACTGCTTCAACTTTCAGCAGGTTGGCATAAAACTTGACACACACACAATGGACCAAAACATCACTCACCCAGTCAGGAAACTGACCTCTCATTGATTCAGTATTTTTCATACACATGCTCACTCAGTTGCACTTATTCAAAGCAAGAAAAGAGTATTGTTCTTATGCATCAAAGCTATGCATCGAAATGTCTCCCATAGGAAAATTATTGTTCTCTGATTTCTCTTTGTATATTTTGAACCAACTGCCGATTCAAGGACACTGCTGGTGTTTGTGTGGAGGTACATGTGTTTATGGATATGTGCCTGCAGTTGTGTACTTTGTGCGCGTGAGTGTGTGTGCATGCGTGCAATGAAATATATATTTTATATTGTTAATGAAATTCATTGCATGTTCCAACCCTTTGCATGTTCAGTGCTTATATCAACTTCAAAGACAGATTTGTCCTGTTGTATTATATATATTTTTTTAGATTGCCATTTTAAATGGACAGGGGTCTTGAGCAGACCCAAAAGGCCCTCATCAGGTTTTTTCATTTCCTCATTAACAAAAAGAAAATGCTCATGTTGAGGTATTGTAACTGTAACACACATTTATATAAAGGAAATAAAATGAAAGAAAATACATTATTTGGCTGTAACACAGCAAACACAGAACTATGGTTTTGATGCAAAGAAAGGAGCTTCTGTAGTTGTGGCTGAATTTCAACAAATGAGAATGCAGATTATATCCGGGCAGAACAGGACAGAAGTTGTTGAAAACAGTATAGAAGAGTATAAGTATAAGTTGAAAGGCAGACTGATGAAGGTCCAGCCTCATCACCTGTAAATGAAGAATGTGGATGACGAATGGATGGTCTGACTCTCCACTACAGTGAGTGCTGATTAATTACATGGTGAGCAGCAGTTTCTCGTTGGCGAGCGTAGCTTTGCTTGAATACATCATTGTAGGTAGATGATGAGTCTTTGTGTGCTTTGATGGATGTTGAGCATGATTTAAAAACTGAGCAAGATGCCGACCTGCAAATGGGAAAATGAACAAGGAATCTGCTTTGGCCTTGGTGTTTTGTGATAGAAGGAAATGAGAAGATAAAATTTTGTACAAACCTACTCACATCAACGCTATAATTCACTTTATTTATTTTTTTTTTGGAGGGACTTTGGTGTGTGTGTGTGTGTGTGTGTGTGTGTGTGTGTGTGTGTGTGTGTGTGTGTGTGTGTGTGTGTGTGAGAAAGAGAGAGAGAAACAGAAGTTGACACTGTCTGTCATTTAGCACTTTTTCTGCCTCCGCACCGGGAACAGTCAGAGCGTGAGGCATTCTGTTTTCGGGTTATGGGTCCGTTGCTATGACCTCACAAAACACGTTTTTGCCATAACTCTTCAACATTTAACATTTTGACATTTATGTCAAATGTACAATTGGATAAAACGGTATAGTGATGACATTTTATGTCCAAATAGTCAAAGGTCAGCTTTACTGTGACATCATAGTGTACTGCAAAAACACTTCTGGACATTATTCAAGACTGTAACTCAGGAAAGGAAGGTTGTGACCGTATTTCCTGCAACCCGGCAGGTCGGAGGCATACAACCGCCAGGTGGTAATTCTAGTTCTATTTGTGGTGTTTCAATCAACAAACTTATCTCTGTGTCTACCTGTTTCTTCCTCTCTGAGTGCCTCTCTCTTGTCCTCACCCTCTCCTCCTGACAGACAATACGCCTCACTAGAAGTCACCTCTGTCTAATTAACGACTAATGGTGTTTGCTCCACAGTCATAACTGTTTTCAAGAGCAAGTGCAATTGCAGTTCTGCATAGTGGAGCCATGAACACACTCCTTGATTGAAATTTAAATGTCTTGTATATGTGGGTATGTGGGAGGGGGGAGGGGGGGCTGTTTCAGGACAGTGGTAATCATCCACTACCAGCTGTTTTAGTTTTGAGAGTTTAATAAAAAAGATGCGTCTTAAACTTTTTTCCTAATTTCTCTCCTTTGATCATCCCTCTTCTCCCTCCTTTCTTACTTTTCTTAGCATGGCAGAAAATGAAAGAGAAAAAGAATAGTTTATTACTGAATAGCTGTTGTGAAGGACCGGATAGGGGAGGAGGTGGGGGTAAAATGAAGAGGTCAGAACTGTGTTGGCAGCAAAAGTGTTTACACAATTTGTATCGAAAGTGTTTACACTTTTGCTGCCAACACAGTTCAGTTTATCAGTGCTGGGGCATTTGACCTGTTGTAAAAGGACAGTACATATATTATATGTACATGCACATATATACTTTTGGTTGGACGCCAATGTTTTTTCTTATCTTAGTCGTGACTGTCCTCTCTCACAAAGGCAGTGGTAGCGTTATACCACACTTAGGCTCATAGACAAGAGGTTGGCATGTGAGATTAGACACACAAAGTGTCAGTCAATGTTGTTTTTTAACCATAACCAATCTTTTCCGAACTTAAACCAAAACTGTACCAAACCTCGACATATTTGTAACAGTGATATGAGTCGTTTTTTTTTGAAGGGGGCCGACATTGTTGTCATGCACTTTTTTAATTGCGCCTCGATGTTGAATTTTTTAATGTAATATGTCCATCACTGTAGTTGAACGTCATAAAACACATAAGGAGTCGCATTAGAGAGACGCTCTCTGTACTACGCTATTGTTATTTTTTGCAGGTCATACCTTTTGTTGACAGTGCAAATAAAGTCTTTTCAAAACAGGAAGTACAGAGAAGCATAGAGTTTCCCACCATGTTTGTATTTTCACACCTCAAATTCAAGCATAAGCCTTGTAGTATTCTCACACCTCACTAGCTAGAATCTTTTCCAGGTTTTGCAATGTCTGTTTCACATTATTCACACAAAGCTTCCACACAGCTCTGCCAGTTTTGTTGTAGACCTCCCGCTGCTGCAGAAGACAGCCATGTGCAGACAGTTCTGGATTTTGTATTAAATTTTTTTTTTTGATACAATTTGACCCTCACCCTTACTTGTGAATATAAACTTGAAGCACAGCCTTTCGGTCA